AATTGTGCTGGAAGTCAGGAATCACATTTTATTGAATGTAAGGAAGCCAAATGAAGTGGGACCACTGTCCCAAGGGGAGGAGGAGTAGCTAATATCAGTAGGAGGAGTCTGAAAGACAAGCAGCAGTACATGAACCTGTGGGTGGGAACCACTGTCCTAGCCACTCTCATGAAGGATGATGTGACCTGCGCATGCTTCATACTCTGAGACTGAGCCATGCGCATGCTGTTTTAATGAAGGAGATTGTGTCATGAGAAAAAATGTTTCCTAAGTCTTTTTAAAAAGCACAATGAAAACAAAAACCCCAGCAGACCCAGATTTCATCCCTTGGAAATGAGAATAAAGTCCATTTTTTTCTCTGATGACAGCTAGTCATTATCTGGAAAGAAGCTTGGGTTTTGTTTTGGGTTTTTTTGTATACAACATACGGTTGTATTTTTTCATGTGAAGATGATGAATTATTTTCTGATTATTCTACTGCTCTGGCTGCCTGGATATGAACACAATTGTCTATTTATTGCATAAACATACTGTTATGAATCTGAATGTTACTTTAAGGGTTAATCATCAGGATTCAGTTAATGAGGAAGGCTTCAGCTCAGGTAACTTTAGCTTAGGCTAGAGACCTGCTTTTTAAATGACTTCTCATCTAGATCTTTCTGTAGTCAACAGCAAGAGACAAGTTCCCCCAGCTGTAAAGTCATCCCAAATGAAATGGAGCTGAACTGCACTCTGTAGCTTGCTAACTTCCCACTGATTATAGAAAGGGGTCTAAAGGTTAATCTTAGACAGGACATTTAACTTTTTAAACAGCTTAAGACAGATCAGATGAGTTCTAGCTCCTAAACCTAAAATGTTTCAGCAACATTTTGGGGACAACAATTTGTTCCTAAACTGACACTTATCAATGGGGAAGGTTGAGAAACTCCCTATAAAGAGAATTTGGGAAAGCTTTTGGTTTATAGTATCTACCGTAAACCCCCACCGCACAAAAAAAGAAAAAAAAAACAACAACCCACAAATGAGTGTGCCTACATGTGCAGTGGAAAAAAATCACTGCAAATAAGTCACCTTTTGTGCTGAATACAGAGGAATATTTTGATCTGTTTTGATCTATGAGGAGGATATCAAATCTTGATTACTCCTGGTTTTGTATAGCTCCATGGCAGATATTTCTGCATATATTGCCTATATTTCTGTCCTATACTGAAAAAAAAATCCACAAGAGTAATGTTTTGGATACTTTCATCATCCACTGACCCTTTTCTTGCTGGTCTGAATCCTATGGTTCTTTGCAATGCACTTTATGCCTCCTTGTCTTTTGTAAGGAAGGCAGTTATCATAGGAGTTTTAAGGGGCAAACTTTGAGAGATCTGGATATGTATACTAAAGGACCAAACAAGTTTCTGGAGAGAGACAGTCAGAGTCCATATATAATGACAACTCTATTCTTCTAGTATAGTATTAAACCGCTATTTATAAACAATATGCATCCTCTGTCTCACCTATTTTCCTGCTTCTTTGTCTTTCAGATTCTCTGCCTTAAACATACTCTTCTCTTGAGAACTTCTCTGTAGTGTTACTAAACCAAATCTTGTGGCATTTAATACATTGCTTGAAGCCAATTTGTAGTATGTGACCACTTCTTGCCTTTGAGGAAATCACCTCATCATCTGACATCATCTGAGTGTCACTGCTAGATTTCATCATTCTAGGAGCTTCCTTCTCATCCTGGAACGTGTTGAACCAAGATGATCTGTCTTGAAATCCTGAAGAATAGGTGGACTATAGTCTCCCCTTTCATCTGAGATTCATCTATCATTGGTGACCTGTTAATTCCCCCACCAGGAAAAGCTGATCTCCACAACAAGCCTGTTGTGCGTACAGTTTCCCTTATGTCTGAAAAAATTGTCTTGATTTTATTATCACTGAATAGATCTAGTCATCCTAAAACTGCTTCAGTTTCTTCCTTCTTGGAGCTTATTTCACAGTCTCCTTCAGTCTGTGAAGATCACTGCGATGCCAAGCATGCTTAATTGCTCTGTCTGTTTTTCTTCACATTGAAGACCTCACAAGCTCACTTCCTCTAACATCTTCATGTCCATCAGTTTATATTGCCTGGCTGACTCATTGTTATCACTCAGCTAGATTTTTGGTGCATTTCTTTGCATTAGAATCCTTTTCAGTGATGTGCCATGATTCCAGACTCTTCTTGACCATCCTTCTTGAAATTAATTCCTGCTTCAAACTTTGGTTTTATTACTAGAGACATGAGAATTTCTTTTTCCCTACCCTACTTCACCCCTACAGAAAACACACACATCTCATTCAGTTGACTTTTACTTCCTCACCTTTATTTTTCAGGCCCTTTCAAAACTTGCCAATTAACTGTCATCTTCTCCTATATATATTTTTCCTATATACGGTAGCTGAGTGCTTGAAGAATCCAAATTTTAAAGAAATGCCATGGAGTTAAGGCATCTGTCTTGTAAAGCACTACTGCTCTCAAACATGGCCTCTGAAAGAACAGAGAAGTGATAGTGATGCAGAAAAGAGATCACAGGATTCTCCCTACCTTAGTAGAACACAAACCACTTACTGGGACCCTGCACTCACCATCAGTTTAACCTTTAGAGCACCTTGGTGGATCAATCAGATCAAGATTCTAACCCAAAAGCAAGCACTATGGAAACCATTTTTTAAACAAGTGTTTAAGACTGAACATGAGACTGCCCTACACATTCTGTGATGACTAATTTGCCACAGATGTCAATAAGTAACATCTCATACTTTTCTACAAAGAAGGAAGTAATCCCTGATTTTTGCTCCATACATTTGTCTGTGCTTTGTTTGTCTTTCCCCCATGCCATGAATTCCTCAGGAAATTGCATTAGGGCAAAGTCTGGGTAATATTAATACCATTCACTTAGACTGTTCTAATTCTTCATTCAAATCCATGCTTTTATCTTCTCACATAATTGACTTCAGTCTTGGTGATGCTGGACCAGCTGTGTGTCTCTATACTCATACAAGTCCTTCTTAGTTGCTACTTCCATACTTGCACACACATATGCACTTCATACACACAAGGACAGGACAAGTATCTGAATTTACTAGGCTGCAGAAATTGCATTCACAAGTATTGTCACGTTGTCAACAAGAAAATTCAGAAGGCCTGAAAAAACATCCTACACAAGGGTTTAGTGCTTCCATCTTTTGTGACAGGGAAGCCCATATTTCATTACTTTCTGGGTCAAAGATATATTAATCAGAAACAGACAGTAGAGATGAGGGCCCCAGTAATTCATATTAAAAAAACAAACACACAGAAGCCTGCAACAGCTGTGACGTTCAATGCTCAGATCACGCAGTAATTTTGTATGTTGTAAACTGCAGTATTCCTACTAGAGTTACCACTCTTATGAAAGCTGCAAAGTCATCATATATATCTTTAAATCCATCTTACCTTCATCATTTTAAGAGGAACATCCTAAGAACGTCCCTTGTGGAGGGATACAGCCAGATACACAGCTCTGAGATAGAAATAAATCCTTCTTTCAAAGAGGTGCACCAATGACACCAGAGATGCTAGAACACAAAAATAATCCATCTGACCAAGATAACTCCTTAAATAGAGAATATGTAGTTCTGCGAGTGAGACCCTTCACTTACAAGGTCTGGACACAAGTCTCCATCTTTGTCCACTATGTCCTTGCACGGTGGACTCTCCCCACACTTGTCTCTCCTGCCAGCGAGTTCAGTGGCTTCAGCTGCGCATACCGCATAGACACCTCTCTGCATACCTATGAAATCTCTGTCTTCTGGTCACCACTACTGTTTGTCCTCCAGCTCTGCTCCCATCTGCGGCTCTCAGCAACCTGATAGCTGCAGTGGCTTCTTCTCTGCCCCAGATCAACCTGCCTGCCTTTCTCTCCTGCACCTAAGCGCCTCTTGACCTTGTGTGCACAATTCATCTCTCCCCAGAGCTGTCCCACACCACAGCATCCAGGAATGGATTAAAAGGCAGGTTTTCTTCTCATGGCTTAGCCCCACATTTTTGTAACTAATGTGCAATTGACAAATATTTAAGCAGCAAAGGGAACAAGCAAATCAAATCATTATGCCATCTTTCACCTATGAAGCGTTCAGAGCATATTTAAACTGATACACTCAGTAGCAAATTCCTCTTTTGTTGCTCTTTTCAGTGGTATTAGTAATTGCATTTAAGACTGTTACAGTCATCAGGCTGTCAGAAGGGTTACTAATGCTGGTAAGATGGCAAGTAGATGCAATTCTAGCCTTATGTTGTCACTGAAGGAAAAACGTCTTAGGTCAGTAAATCTGTAAGAGGACAGTGCAAGGAATCATCAGAGGAACAAAATATGTCACTTTACTACGATTTGTACAGGTCACCTCAGTTTCTAGTATAGAGAGAGATGACTGAAAGTGAATGGTGGAGAGAACTGGGTAGCCTGCCCTACCATGTACCTAGTAATTGCTTGGCAATGCCTTTCCAGTGTTTTACTGGTAATTTATTTGGTTCACAGCACATCTGACTCTTAGTCCTGGCTATGCACATGAGTTACTCATTTAGTAGCCTGCCACAGACCCAGTAGTTAAAGAAAGCACTGAACAGGAAAGGCCAAGCATCCTTATCATTAGACAGTATAACTGCCCAAGTAGTGGTGTTTCTCTTCTTAATGATAAATGTAATGCTTCAAACATGCTACTGGAGCTGAAGCACTGTGATACATTACATAGAGAGGATAGCATGACCCTCTGGTAACATTTTCAACGTTGATACAAAAAATGCTCGTAAAAAGCAGCTAATTATCTGTGGAGCTTAGCTGTTGCTTACAAAGACATTGATGTATTATGGTAGCCCCAGCAGTGTCCTTGTGTACAAAACATTTATTTAGCCCATTATATACTTAAAGCATCATGAAAGCAAGTTAAAAGTGTACAAAGGAGGAAAATGATTACTTTTGCTTATTTTGTAGCCAAAAGCTGGGTCTCTTGGATCGGGTTCGTGGTACCAATACTAAAGGAAAGCTATTTACCCCTCTGAATGTAGATGCCATTGAAGAAAGTCCTTCAAAAGAGCCTAAGAATGTTGTCTTGAATAATAAGGAGCGTTTTCGCACTGCATTCCGAATGAAAGCGTACGCTTTTTGGCAAAGCTCAGAAGGTAGCCCATCTGTGTTGATTTGTTTCTGTCCATCCCCTATTTTCCCCATTTTACTTTGGTCCTCTGCATCTTCTGTTGAAGGTTTTTGACTTTCTAGGCGAAGCATGGCCAGTCCCTGGTTTTACATGGCACGTTTGGGGAAGCTCCAGGAAATGAATGCTGGAGTCCAGGCAACACAGTGCTTGAAATAAGACAATGGCCCTCCATAAAACCAACAATTGATATGGGATAAGGCCAGTGGTGGAATCAACCTATTTGACCTCAAAAAAGAGAGCACACTGGGCAGTGCATCTATATCCCAAATAAAAGCACATGCCGACATGGCTCAGTTTATCAGCAGGGATGTGTGCTAAGGTAGCTCCCTCCTAGCCTGCATCCAGCCCTGCACTAGCCTGTGTCCAGGCATCTCAAATATCTCCTCATTGCAATCTCTTAAAACTTTGTTTTATAGAGTCAACTCTTTCTTCCCTCCCACTCTCCCTGAGACTGCTGCCCCTCAGCAGATTTCCATTGGGTGTCCATGCAACATCATAGAGCATTTTTCCTCTCAGCTTCCCTGAGCACACATTTTCCTCTTCTTGCCTATAATGTCTAAATGGTCTCTAAATGACAGTTTCTCCTTTATTGTGCCAGCTGGCATCAGTGCATGCTGGAAAGACTACCATGGATGTAGTCTGGGTGTCCACACCAGGAACTTGATTAGCCTTTTCCACGAAGCTACATGAGCTCCAAGTAGTGCAAGTGGGAGGAGAACTTGGACTGTAGCTTCTATACCTGTTTTATTTAGCCTTATGTAAAATAAGTTTGGCAAAGCTTTATCATTGTAAAAGCTCCTAATCTGTTGGAAAGGAAGGAAAGTTCCCAAGTTTTAGAAATGCTGGAATCTGAGAGGACATCCCTCATATAATGCATCTTACAGCTGTCCTGGCAGAATTATGAAATCCCTTTCAAGAGCTGACCAGAGAAAGAGGAACCTGCAAGAGATATTCCTTTACTAAATTACATTTACTTTATGTAGAGCTTTAGTCAGTCAGACCTACCTCTATACATTGTGTGGTCAGATGTTCACACAGCTTTTTTTGACCTGCTTTGCAGATGCAGGGACAGGAGAACCGATGGCAGAAGAGAGAGGTGACAGTAGCGACTTTCTTATGGAAGATATGATCCCCACATTCAAGACAGCCATCCGAGCTGTCAGGTAAATGTCTCTGATGCTCCTCAATGCTCTGCTTTGACTTTGAATGTTTATGCTTCAGGAAAACACATTACCATGTTGCTACATGTTGATTCATTGTTGCTGTTACTACTTTTTTTAATACAATAGCTTAGATAATTCTAGTATATTGAAAAGCACAAGACAGACCCTATTTAAAGTCCTCTTTGAAAATATGCAGAAAGGAAAATGTTTTTCAGTAACATTGACCACACCATTTTTGCAAGATGGTCCAAAATATTATTGTAAAATAATATTGTATACAGTTCCTCATTAAAATATGCTATAAATATAGTATCTTGCTCAATTTAGTGACTGTAGTACTTATGTAAAACTGCAATTTTCGCTTAACAATAAACTCTGAGCTGATTCAACTCTTTTTTATTCACAGTTATATGTGTGCAATATACTTTTCAGTTGTCATATTTTAATAGATGAGGAGGTCTCCATTTCAGCAGTCTTCCGCTTTTGACATGTGTCACCTCTATTTTCGTATCACAAGAGAGATTCCCTAGGGTTAGAAAACTCCTAGTAAAGCTTGATAATATCAAGTACATGATGCTCTGTTACTCCTTCACTCAGTAGTTTTTTACTCTCTTCCCTTGAAAAATGCCCACATAGGAAAATACTCTACTTCCATTGCAATTGCTTTTTATTCCAGAAGTTGCTAAGTTTTGGGCCAGGGAGTTACTACCTTTCAGGTGAAATACTGCAAGTCTGGAGTGCCCCAAAATTATCTTCTTAGAAAAGCATCAAGGAAGATGGTTATAAGTATGTAAACATATATGTATATAACAATAATATATATTCTCCTGGTTCTTTTCCAGTTGGGTGCAGGAGAACCAGTCATTAAAAATTCCAAGTTTTCTCAAGCCTGATGAAAACCATGGCCCACAGGCTTTGTTCATGTTACCCATGACTGCTTCCCTCCCGCTGGAAGCTTCTTCATCCCTACTTCCTCCACAGTTTTCCCCTTCTTTCCCTGATACCAGCTTGCTTTCAAACACAGAGTATACATCTGTCCTGTTTTCCAGCCCCACCTCCATGAGACACGCTATTATTACTTTTGCAAAACTTCCTTTCCCACATTCTGTGCAAAGCTAATTGATTCATGCAATTTCCCTTTAAACTCAATCACGAGCCAAGCTTTTTTTTTTTTTTTCCCTTTCTTGTATAGTTTACCCAGACCCTGAATGCTAATAGGAAGTAATTCTTACAGACAAAACCACTTAATGAGTTTTCAGGGTCATGATCAAGGAGATTTGAAATTGAAATTGCTAACAGCATGATTCCTATTTTTCATTTATGGTTTGGGGTTTTTTTTAGTATAGTTTTGCTGGTATCAAATATAGTTTGGCTATAATAGGCATAGGTATAATTTTGAAATTTTGAAAGATTTATAATCAACAGAGTTAAAGCATCAAAAACCCTTAAAAAGTCATAATAGAATTATCTTTGCTAAATGAAATTTTATACAGATTTTAAAAGGGTTAAAAGAACTCACCAACCTTGAATAAAAAACAGGTCAGAATCTTAACAGACAACAGCAGTTCCCCAATTCAGACCAATAAGAACATGGACATTCTACTGAGGAAGCAAACCCTTGGATCCCAAGCCTAAGACAGATTAAAGAAATAAAATGCTTTTCATTCTTTATATATGTTTCTTGTGTATTTGTTTAATCTACCAAGATATAATAGTGTAAACTAATGCATAAACAGAAAAGAATTAAAAAGAAGAATGCTAAATAATTTTCAAGTGCTCTGGCCAACACTGGTCCTTATTATAAGAATTCTGTTATTAATTACTAGGACATTTTACAATAATAGTAATAATAACAGCAAAACAACAACAACAACAATAATGTTATAGTGCTGTTATTTCAAGGACACTTCAGGCAGTTCTAACACTTTTTCTTTTCTCTACAACTTGAACTGCTGCTGACTTCTTAACTTCCACAATTCTATCTAATTAAAATTTTCTATCCAAAACTTTCCTAGGCGCACAATGAAAATCAAGCTGAAAATGATTCAGCATTATATATGCTCTAAATTAACTTTATAATAGACTGAAGCATAAAAAAGCAGCTTCAGCTTCACAATTTCAAAATCTCCTGTGACTTGCATTGTTCAAAATCAAATTCAACATATGATTCTGTAGCTTTGAACCATTTCTAGTTATGATGATAGTGCTGAAAAAGAGATTTTGTGTGTATAATTCATTTTAGCCTATTAACTATGAAAAGCCAACTATTATATATTTACAAATGTGGTATGATATTACAGATTTTCTGCTTATATTTTATTGCCTTGTTTTGAAATAACATGCTCAATTTCCAAACATCCAGAATATTTATCAATTATTTGATAAAACTGCAAATTATCATTATGGAATTTATGTAATAAGTTAGTAATTTTTCTGTTTATTATGCAGAATACTACAGTTTCGTCTCTATAAAAAAAAGTTCAAGGAGACTTTGAGGCCTTATGATGTAAAGGATGTGATAGAGCAATACTCAGCAGGGCATCTTGATATGCTTTCCAGAATAAAATATCTTCAGGCAAGGTAAGAATCCTCTGGTAAATGGGGAAAATGTATAGCTGTGCTGGCAAAATAAAAGCTTAGTAGGCCTATTTGCATACAAGGCCACACAGAAGCTATGTCTGCATAGTGTAGCCGGTCAATAAGAAAGCCTTTTCCCCAAAGAATAAAGGCAAGTGAGCAGCCAGCAGCAGCAGAGACCACTGGCTCACATTTAGAACAAGGATATATGAGTAAAAAATCCTGTGGGTTTTCTTGACTGTTGCCTTACTCGATTAGAGTCAAGTTTCTCCCCTTCTCCCATTTTTACAGACGATAAATAAAAGCAACAGTTGCTCTACATGAGCTTTTCTTTGGGCTGGATTATCTGCTGACCTGTGCCTGGTACAAATTCTCATACAAGTGCAAAAATACATCAGAGGGATATACATCCCCTTCCCTCAGGTGTAAATTGACCTATATGAATAAAATTGGAATTTCAGGCCTTTGTGACTGTTCAGGTGTAATCTGCTACCACAGTTGTTTACCCTCACAGAAGCGGTTCATCCCAATGTGCTTTTGACGCATGTCTACAAAAATCAGTGCTGCTTGCATCCTGAACCATGGGTGCGGGTCAGAGCTTGAGCTAGTAAGCTTGTCTGGGTTTAAGAGAACATGTGCGAATATGTATGTAGCTGTATTAGTTCAGGCTCAGCACAACACTGCCCACATTCCCTGAGACCCCCAATCACTCTGAACAGCAAAATGCCACGCAGACATAACCTTGATTTCTCTCAAGAATGGGCTGAGTGAGTGAAACTCTTGCTGCACATTTGGACCTTATCTAGACTTACCTTGACTTTGTAAGGCTGCTCGGGTCCTTCTGTTGAACTTCATAATTTCATATTTCAAAGTGTTTTTCCACGTACTGGACTGTCTCATTTTCAAGTATATAACATGTCCGGTTCCTACCTCACTATTATTGCTCTAGAAGAGCTTCTCTCTTTAATTATATACCACAAAACACTATTGTTACTCTATAAAATGAGCTCTGCATCACATGAGCTTAGGTTTCAATGCAGTAGTACCTTTTTGAACTCAGGAAGTTGAGGACGCCTCATGATGTTAGAAATCTGAACCTATCTGCGGTTGAGTCTACACACCTTATGCTGGAGATCCTTCCTTTACCTCACACTGAGGTGTTGTGTGATTTTGGACAGCAGAGCACCTCTCAGATACTCGTTTGAGTCCTAGCAGCAGTAAAGGTGCCTGACATGATTATGCCCATCTCACGCAGTGGTTATGGCAGGTGAGGCAGGGTGAGAATCACAGCACAGCCTCAGCCCTGTGATGTTCAGCTCAGCAATGCCTTGCCCCAGTATAAAGAATCACCAGTAGTGGAAGAACCACAAAATTTCAACAGCCATTTTGCACATATACAGGGAAGACCTTTTTAGAGGTCTTTGAAGAAAAAACATAATCCTGGCAAGCCATGTGAGATTCCTCTTACAGTTAACAGAGAGCTAGTGAACATAATTAATAGCCTTTATGGCACAATTAATCCCTGCTTAAACCAGATACCTTCATTTGATCAGTTGAATCTCCCTTACTCTCCCCTAAATTTTCTTCACTGTGTTGACTGGATCTCTGCTGATTGTATTCGGACAAGACCAGGGAGGTGAGTACTGCTCATTGTGTCTATGAATAGTGAGATGCCATAGGAGTTTGATGAGACATTGACTGACGGCCCAGCAATGCTTGGGTGCCTAGAAAATATCTAGCTAGCTTTATGAGGTTTGCCTTGAGCTTTTTTAAGTTCCATTTTCAAAACTCCATAGGGCACCATGAAGTTATGCAATGTACCTGCGTGGATTGTCTGATAACACAGATAACTGCTCTGTGGACTAGTGCTGACTGATACTGGTCAGTTTGGTGTATGGGCTGAATGAACAGAGGCTTGCTTACACCTGAGCAGTTGGATATGACAAATGAAAGAATGTACTGATATAATAGAAGTGTGTAATTAAATATGCTGGAGCCTCCCAAACAATCCTTTTGATTTTGTTCCAAATAAAAAGTCAAGTAGGATTCCTAGTGGAACCTCATTTATAGTTATATTTTTCAAACCAATAGAATAATTAGTAAAGACAAAAAAAAATATACTGATAATTAGGCACAATAACTGCTAGAAAGGCATTGGTTTATTAAGAGTATCAAGAATTGCCAACTTTTGCCAAATTCTGATTTTCACTATCCAGCACAAAACCTGATGGGTCTCTCCTGATATTTTTAGGAACAGATGTTACTGGAGGTTTTTTGACAATCACGCTATTTAGTTCCTTTGAAGGAAATGAAGTCTTGTGTTTCAAATGTCAAAGTTTGGAAACAGTGAGCTAGATAATTACTTAACTACCATGAAATTACCAGGTATTTACAATTCAGCGTATTGATTGTGGACCCAGAACAGAACAAACACATCATGACCCTCAATATATTATCAAATCAAAACATATGTCATTTTTAAATCTTTGCTACTGTTTGCTGCAGGGATGCATAGCATTTTCTATCATGTGTTAGCATTTCGAGATGGACTTATGCAGTTGCACTTTTCTTTTTTTCAGAGTAGATATGATTTTTACACCTGGACCTCCATCTACTCCCAAGCATAAGAAATCCCAAAAGGGAGGAGCTTTTTCTTACCCTTCACAACAGTCTCCCAGGTGAAGTTTTATGCCTAGTATTTTGCACAGACTAAAACAGAAATAAAAAGTTTATTCATACTAATAAGCATGCCCTTCATTCATCCAGACAGTACACTGTTATAGTAATGATACTGACAGGATACGTTGCTACAAGATACATATGTGTAAATGTTGAGCCAGAAAGACACTAGCTTCCCTAAGAACAATGTATGATGGAAATCTAAACTTAATGGCTTCTTCGTCTAGCTCAGCTTCTCCATGGTTTGTGAATGTGATTTTATAGGAAATATGTACATTTGATTGCTGATGTGCTGAATTTCTAACATTCAACTAGTAAACCCACTTAAAGACTCAATACTAATCACCAACAGTTTGAAGGTAAAGCAGTTATCTTCCTGAAGTGAAAAAAGTTTCGTTACAGCCCCCACCAAATAGCAAGCACGGCATTTTAATGATGCTGCTTTCAAACCAATGATTGGTGAGAATTACTGAAAATAAATTGCAATACCAGGTTTCTGGGTGTGAAAGTTACAGCATGTTATTGTATTGCTGCATTCCTGGTAGCAAGAATACAATAATAAATGACATTTCTTCTGTTATTTACAACTATCAATCTGTCAATAAATACCGATGAAGAACCACAGGAGACCATCGCAATCTGTCTCCAAAGCTGTTATGGTTGCTTAGAACAAAAGTAATCTTACAGAAAATAAATTAACTTGGCTCTATCTGGCTTATCCCACCCAGTGAAAAATCTAAAAACATGTAAATGTGAAGACAGAGACCTACATATATGGAAGAGGCAATGATCATCTGGGAAACAAAGCAGATTGCAAAATTTGAATGAACCCATATCATCAGTAACCCAATGTGAAAAATCTGACATGTTTTAGTTACAGTTTCTGCTTTAGTAAGATATATTCGTAGCTATATTTTGAATTTTGTCAGAAAGAGAAGAACTGGACCTGTTAAAACAAAAGTTTTAGGGTGTTTTTGTTCTAAGTCATCTTAAAGAACAAGAGCTTAGAAATTGTTTTTCTAGACTTTGACATACATTATGGAAAGATATAGATTCCTTTGAGGTTGGTTTGGAAACCTATTGATAAACATTTAACTTAATAGTAGGAAGTAGGAAGTTACATAGAAGAAAATTTATTCTGAAATCTACTTTAAATCTCCAGGCCAGACTGTCTCTTTTCAGCATTTCCAGTCTCTGCCACTTACTATTTGGTTTAATGAAGTTGAGAAAAAAAAAACCACTCAGCCTTGAAACTCAGAGTCAATCTTCAAAGACACTACTTGTAAAGAATTAGATTTAATAACACATGGCCATCTGTAGACCCACCATCTAGACTATATCAACGTTTTTCACAAACCTGAAATTATTCAACCAAGTCTGAGATTCATTTCACTTTCATTTTGAACTTTTTGTTTGCTTTTGTTTTTTCTTAATCTTTATCTTAATTTTGAATTAAAAATCAGGAATACATTTTTTAGAAACACATTGGAATCACATAGAATAGACTTTTGCTCCTGTTTGTATGATAAATAACTAAATTCAGTCTTTTCTTGAATGGGGCTCTGAGGAGCTATATGAATAAACCACCAAGAAGATAATTCTGTTTTCTGATATAAATTACTTACTGTAATGCAAAGAAAAGTTGAACACTAATAGTTATTAATTCTTTATAGAAATGATCCATATGTAGCCAAAGCATCTACAGCAGATACTGAAGACCAAAGTATGATGGGGAAATTTGTTAAAGTTGAACGACAGGTATGTAATTTCATGACAATGATGGAGGCTGAGATGCTTGTACAGAAATGGTAAAGCTGACATAAATTCTGTATGAGTCTTTGGCTGACCCAGGCCGATTTGTACTGTTGGTGATCAAGACTCACACAGATCTTGTACTAATGATCACAAAACTATGTTGTTAGTTTTTCATGAAAGAATTTAATTAACTGGGAAGTGTGCATTTTAAAAACTGCTGAATGAATATCATTATATATGGCAGCAAGACCCTAACCATGTTTAGATGGGACTTCTTCATTCCCTTAAACTCCATACTCATCACGTCTGGTGTTTTGCTGTGAGCACCACCTTCTTTTGCAGGGTCTGGCACTCAAAAGGACTGCCTCCACAGGTATTTTTGGACCCTCTTTGTGCATCCTAACCTATGGCTTAGCAAGTCATGACACTCTCATTTTTAAATACATAACTAAGTAAGATGGAGGCAAGAGGCATTGATTCATGTCAGTTCCATTCATGACATGTAAATGTTCAGGCACAAAGTACTATCAAAAAAGAAAGGAAATTAGTCCTGATATTTAACCCTGATGTTGCGGGACTATTAAGAGTTAGAGAATAGGTCTGTGTGCAAAGGCAATTCCATCTGTTGTATTTTGGTGATAGCTATTTACTGTATCGTATCAAGACTTTGGTCATAACGTTGTAGACTGCTGTTGGATGCTGGACTGCCAAATATCCAGCAATGTTAAGAATTTTTTTGTCACAGTTCACAGGGATGGGTCTTCTTAATCTGAGGCAGTTAGAGGATAAGCTGGCATTCACTGCAGTACAGCTTCCAAGGGAAAGTCATGATTATCCTATAATTATCTGCATGACCAATAAAGATGGCAGCACACCATTGCTGCGGGCAGTGCACCTATGAGAGCATTGACTCTTTAATTGAATGACTGACTTGAGACAATATCATAACATTGGTATTTTTTCAGGTTAATGACATGGGGAAGAAACTGGATTTTCTTGTTGATATGCATATGCATCATATGGAACAGCTGCAAATACAAGTTGCTGAGATAAGTCCATTGAAAGAAACTGCTTCTCCTGCAAAGGAGACTAGAGAAGAAAACAAGTATTCTGAATTAAAAACAATAATATATAAGTACACTGAGCAGTGTGCTCATGAAACTCCTTACAACTTCCAGCAGGTTCCAGTCAACAAAGTCAGTCCTTATGGTTTCTCAGCACATGGTCATATGACTCATTCACAACCTTTATCAACAGGTGGGCAAAACTCTGGCAAACTGCAAGCCACACCTTCCTCAACTTCATATGCAGAAAGGCCAACAGTTTTGCCTATATTTACATTAATGGACTCCCAGGTTAGCTACCACTCTCAAGGAGATCTACAAAGCCCTTACTCAGATAAGGTGTCTCCAAGGCAGAGAAGGAGCTTAACAAGAGACAGCGATACTCCATTATCCCTTCTCTCCGTCAACCATGAGGAACTTGAGCGCTCCCCAAGTGGCTTCAGTATCTCCCAAGACAGAGACGACTTCCCGTTTGGCCCCAATGGGGGATCGGCGTGGATGAGAGAGAAACGCTACCTAGCAGAGGGGGAAACAGACACAGACACCGACCCTTTTACACCAAGTGGCTCTATGCCTTTGTCTTCTACAGGAGATGGGATTTCAGACTCAATATGGACCCCTTCAAATAAGCCAGTTTAAAAGTTTGTGTGGGGGCAGTCACTGGCTGACTTCTCCATGTAATGTAAGCATACTTTGTATATCTCACTTACTCTACACCCAAAGCTTACTAGTTCAAAACACCAATGGCTGCATAAGATGCATGTGGTATTCGTGGTAGTCATTCTGCACCATTTCATACAATTTACTAATGCAGTTTTTTTCATGCTACCAAAACTAAGGAGCTTAGTTTTGAGCATGGTTTGCATGACTTTACCCTATATAAATGGTACAGCTGATTTCTTCTATGATGCATATCTATCTGATACTCTTCAATACAGCAATGATGAATTGATAACAGGTGAGATATGGTGGTCCTTGCTACATTTTGTAAACAGAGCAGCAAAGTAAAAATATTTTCAGGAGCAATATCCCTTTGTGGAAACATAATGTCTGAATCCATTTTCCAATATAAGTAAATTAATCTCTGACCAACCTAGCCAACAACATGTAATACAAAGCAGGGAAAAAGCTGAGTCAAAGTAAATGACTGTACTGAAATGGTTTTGTGAACTAAATGTTTCTCATGTGATCTATTCTACAACTACCCATGAAATACAATGTCAGAATGAAATTAGGGGTAGAAGTTAAAATTATCAAAGCCACCTCCTGGGATTGATCATGGGTATTTATTTGTTGTAAAATGTAAATATAAATCTCTCAAACTATTTTGAAAATCTCCACTAGTGTTTATAAAATGGCTCAAAGTCTGACTACAGTGCTATTTTGTAGCAAATCTTTTGCTCAGCCCATTTGTTACTTATGGGGCCAAATTTTCTTTCTGTTC